CCAAAGCTTTATAAGATTCTCCAATTTCATAATTTCAGCTACATGTCTTGCATAAAGAATATAACAATTTAAAAAAGTCATGAACTTTAGTTTTATGCTTCTATAAGCTTAGTATGGATTTTTCTTTGAGACATTTTCCCTGTTTATACTATATGAATGTCCCATTGGTGGCATTTGTAGACTACATTTTTAGTCCTAGGAACAATTTCTTACAAACAGAACTTCTCGATTTGAACTTACATAAATTTTGCACACTGATAATACTTTTCTGAGATATCTAAAATGAAATTGATGGTGGAGCTCAAATTTCTTACATCAAAGGAGGATAAGCTTTCCTTTCCAAAAGTGCTTGTGAAGTAACCTGATTGTGGATACAACTCTTTCTCTTACTATGTCATCTTTATCATGCAAACATATTTCAAAAGCTTTGCTTATCAATAATAGCTAAATATTTGGATTAATGACCCAATTATATAATAGAGTTCAGATATTTTAAGTACTAATCTATTAACCGAAATTGCTTGTTTAGCTCTGTAGTGGATATATGCTATATTCCCATCTGTCCATCATGGTTACAGCAGGCCAGCTTTTTTTGGTTTTGATCAAAAAAGTTACTATACCTTTACCACCAATAAAATGCCCCAGACTGTCCATAACTGTGTGTCTACTACTATTAGTTCATCTCTTTCTCCCTTCCCATCCCCATCCACCATCCATGGCTTGGTAATTTTAGTTTTGTAACCAAAGACCAAGGGTTTGTTATCTCTTATGCCTATACTTTGCTATTGTTATTTTTGAGCATATCTGTTGGGCCTCACTATTTCTACCAAATGAATATCATATTCTTTATCTAGACATCATTTATTTTCCTTCCCTTCATTTCTCTCCATGGTTGTGATGATGTACCAAGATAGTATATTTGATTTTAGTCCTTGCATACTTGCATGTGTTGAGTAGCATTTCTGTTACTGAAAATACATATTTTGAATTTTGCCTCCATTTTCAGGTCAGAATACATTCCCCAGTTTCCCTTCAGCTGAAACACATGCATGTGATTTATGCTTTTACAATCTAATTTTTTCTGTGAATTTCTGACTGTTTGTTGAGCGCTGGGAAAAAAAGGACTACATCAAGTGTTCCTTTTAAGGTTACAGGACCACAAACAGTACTCTTAGGGACCCAAGGCCTACTGGGCTGGTATTCTTAGAGAGAGGTAGGAGTCCTTGATATCAGCAGTATATCAGCTTCATTGAGTAAATCTCTTCATATGAGATATTTTAAAGCAGTGAGCCAGAACTGCTGATCAAAACTGTTCTGCAACGTGGTTTGTTTCATTGATTTAAAACTTGCTTCTCCAGGGGCCTGAGTTATAGTATAGTGGGTAGGGCCTTTGCCTTGCAGACAGCCAACCCAGGTTCAACTCCCAGCATCCCATATCATCCCTCAAGCACTGCCAGGAGTAATTCCGGAGTGTAGAGCCAGGAGTAACCGCTGAACATTGCCAGGCGTGACCCCAAAAGTCTAAATAAATAAAAATAAATCTTGCTTCTCTAATTATCATGATTCTGTGGCATCTGATATTTTACAAATATATTTTTATAGTTGAAACCAAGAGCCTGTTAAGTACATAAATTCGATTTTGTTTATTTCGTTTATGTTGCTTCTTTTTTATTTTGGTTAAACCTTTGTAAGACCCTCTTGAGATTTTTTTTAAGTTACAGCTTAAAGAATCGGTCTCAGGAAATAAATTTTAGGAAATATCCTGATTATTCATAAATTCACATTGACCATTTCTTTGGGTTACTATGCTTTTGTGCATATCTTCCATATTTCTTTCTTCAAGATATTTCTTTCTTTTTGCTTTTAACCATTTTGTAAGGGGGTATCTTTTCATCAAGTTACACCACTACCACTTGTTTAAAATTATCACAGACCCAAATTCACATAAACCTAATTAACTTTACCAACAGTTTTGTTTTCTTAGTATTTATCCCTTCCTATAAATTAAATTATTTATTACCATTAGCATTGCCTATTTCTTATAATTACATGTGGTTTTTTTTGAGATTTTGCTGTATTTGTTCATTTTGTTTTACTTTGATTTATTACAAGTATCTATAAAAATGCACGGGTAGCATAAATCCTCAGATAATAGTTAGACAAATGCACTGTAGCACTGTCCTCCAGTTGTTCATCAATTTGCTCGAGCGGGCACCAGTAATGTCTCCATTGTGAGACTTGTTGTTTTAGGCAAATGTATATTTTAAAATGATTTATAATTATGCTTTATTCTTTCACTTTTGAAAGAGATTTTAGACAAAAGCATAATTTCTTTAGTGATAAAAAATTGCATAAGTGTATAGCGTATCTTTGCAACTGCATCATTTGTACTATAAAATCAGGCTATTGTGCAAGCCCTTTGGGTATGCTACTCCAAAGAGAGGAAAACACAAAGATGGCAGCTCTGAGAAGATATTTTAGTAATAACCCTCCCACTGTCATTCTTAATATGTGTATTTGTGTTTCATATTTTAATATTTCTCTTTATTGTGTCTTTGTTTATTGACAATGAGTTCAAAAAATTTTTCCAGCTGTAAATGAATTACCATAAATGAAGAGAGCGCCCAGACTCTCTGTACTAAACACTAATAAATTTTAAGCAAAGCAAAGTATTAGACAATTATTGGAACTAATAGGCACTGAGAAACTGAATTAGTAAAATTGCTAAAAGACAACATAGGCATCTGAAGATCTACAGAGAATATTTTTGCAAAATTAAATCTACATGTATATAAAGAATGATTGATACTATAGTATATCTACAATTTAGTGTATCTCATAGAGCAAAATAGCCCACAGTGGCATTGAACTCCACTAAGTGATCTGAACTCTAGATTTTGTGTAAAATTCTAGAGGTGCGATGGAAGAAGTGAGATTAAAAATATTAATTATCTTTACTTAAACCCAAGGACAATCTTGTCAAATTTACTCAAATATACATTTGTCTTACAAATTAGGACGATGTATCTGAGCATGCCTTAATTATGAAAGTATTATATTCTCTAAATAAATTCATTAAACCTTTAGACCACTTAAATATGTTTGTGATAAAAATGATTTTAAAATAAAATAAATTATTTTAATTCGTATTCAATAATCTGTAGTTGCTTGATATTAAAGAATATATATTCTTGCTATTTAGGGTTACTTTTATAAAATAAAAAGAAGAGCAGTTAACAGATGTTTCTACATGGCTAGCTTAAAAGATAAAAGGATTAATACATTTTAGGCAATGAAAAGTTGTGTTTAGAGTTAACATATTCACTCAAAATGTCTGCTCTTTGAATCAGCACCCTTAATGTACTTCTGCTTTCCCTAGCATTTTCCTTATCTCTTACTCATGACCTATAGATTCTTGGAATTTACCAATTAATATACTTTTTTTGGTCTGGATTGCTTTAATGACTTACATGAGGTTACTAGCAGTGATAGAAATTTAGAAAATATCATTGCTATTTGTGTACATGTGTAATTGGTGAATTCTATGTTTACAATATGGCATTTGCTAAAATCTCAGGGCTAGAATGAATGGAGATGTTACTGGTGCCTGCTCAAGGAAATTGATGAACAATGGGATGCCAGTAATACAGTGATGTTTATAAAGATGGGTTGCATACAGAATTTAATCCTGATGAGGCAAAATTCTGACCTAGCGCATCTGCAGATAAATACTATTCTACTTTAAAATGGTAACACATAAAAAGAATTTCCCTAATAATTATTTTATTTTTGAAATGCAAATCATATAAATAGAAGCATATGTTTTATGATGGATGGTAATAAATAACAATTTCCATTGAGGGCTTAGGGCAAACACCATCATCACTCATTATTTATTCATTATCTATAATATATCTATTGACAGCTATCATTTTAAATACATCCTTATTCACTGTATCACTGTATCACTGCCATCCTGTTGTTCATTGATTTCCTTGAGCTGGCACCAGTAACGTCTCCATTCGTTCTAGCCCTGAGATTTTAGCAAATGCCACAATGGAGTCTCGTTCAGGGTCAGGGGAATGAGACCCATTGTTGTTTCTAGGTTTTGGCATATTGAATACACCATACGGAACTTGCCAGACTCTGCTGTGCAGGCAGGCAGACAGTGCTACAGTGCTACTATTTGGGGTCTAAAATCTGGCCTAATTTATTCACTGTAATGAAAGTCTTCCTGAGCTTTATAACTAGTAGATCGGAAAGTTGATCCATACAGCTAGAGGGTATGCTTTGTGTTTGTGAACCCAAGGTTATATCCCTGATGACATATGGTCCTATGAGCACCTAACAGGAATAAAGTAATAGCACATTCTAGTGCCATCCTCCCAAAAGTAAAATTAATGAATGATCTTGCTACATTAATGCTTCAAAGAAAATTTCTCTATATGGGCTGTGCTTATGTATGTGTTTGGTTATATATGCATGAATGTTTTGATAAAGTTGTACATGTATGAATATATATCAAAAGGCAAGTGTATAAGAAATGAAAAGGAGAAAAATAGAACAAGAAATGTATAAAGTGAAGGGAAAAAGAATGAATGTAGAAGAATAGTATACAGTGGGCAGGGCCCTTGCCTTGCATACAGTTTACCTGGGTTGAATCCATGACACCCCACATAGTAACCAGAGCCCCATCATGAATGATCCCTGAGCATAGAGACAGGAGTAATTCCTGAGTGCTGCCGTAGGTAGCCCAAAAACAAAAGACAAAAAAAGTAGAGATACAAGGGAAGAGTAGAAAAGGGAAGGGAAGAGGTAGAAAGGGATCTGAAAGAAAGGTGTTGGGAATGATAAAGAATGAACAAAAGACAGTGCTGTATGTGTATATCTGTAGTTTTAAAGTAAGTGTGCATACAATTTAAGGCACTGACATCTGTGCTACAGTCCTCTCCTGGCTCATCTCTGCTCTACTCTGACTTTCGAAATTTCTTATGTTTCAGATGGAACGCCATTTACGTGGTGGATTGGGCGCTCCAATGAAAGGCATCCTTACTGGGGAGGTGCCCCTCCTGGCGTTCAACAATGTGAATGTGGCCTGGATGAGAGTTGCTTGGACATTCGACATTTTTGCAATTGTGATGCAGACAAGGATGAATGGTAATGGGGAAATCAATCTTTTTGCAGTTGTTTGGAAGCATAATTGACACATAATATTTTCTTCAAGATAGGATTACACAAAAATTAACATAAACCAGGACTATTCTCATGATACTGATTGTTTAAATTTTAAAGTTTGCCACTTGTGTCCTTCCATTGATACTACTGATGTCTGTAACACAAAGCACCTTGCCCAGTGATTACTTCTGTCAAAACTGAACACTCCATTTTTTCAGATGAAGTTTCCCCTCTTTTACTTATTTATCATTAGGTTACAAGAGTATTGAATTTATGCTTATCACAACACCAATAATATGTGTATAGATATACTTTCAACATTCCAATATAACCCTTATACCATTTCCTCTCAAACCTCTCTCTCATTCTCAGTAGAAACCATCATAGTATTCACAGAGCCTAGGTGGTAGTACTTTGTGTGTGTGTGGCAGTGAGTGTGGGGTACAAGGAGGAGGTTGTTTTTATTTCAAAAAAGGCTTGGGTTTTGTTTTGCTTTTTTTAAAAAATTCATATTTAAGTAAAATCAGTCAGCAATTGTACTCATTTCTCTTTCTACTCTATTTAGCATCAACACCTTAAATTCCATAAATTTTATTCAAGTAGATACATTTCAGTATTTCTAATTAGTAGTAAAGTACAGTGCATATAAGGACCCCATTTTTATATTCAGTAATCTGTTGCTATTCACTGGATTGATTCTATTGGTTATTGTGAATAATGACGCTGTAAACATGCTGCAAATATTTTTTGAATTAAATTTTCACATCTTACTATAAATACCTACTAGTGACTTTGCATTTTTATATATTCTTAAGAACCTCTATATACTTTTCTGTAGAGGTTACACCAATTTAAGATAACACAAATTAGAGGTCACATATATTCTTTTTTTTTTTTTTGCTTTTTTTTCCCCTTTTATTTTATTTATTTTTTTTACAGTTGTAGATTTACAATTTTTTGTGCTTGGGTTTCAATTATACAATGATCAGATACCCATCCCTCCACCAGTGCCCGTTTTCCACCACCATGGATAATATCCCTCCCACCCCCATCCCCCCATCCCCCCCGCCTCTGTGGCAGGGCAATCCCCTGTGTTCTCTCTCTCCTTTTGGGTGTTGTGGTCTGCAAAAGAGGCATTGAGTGGCAAACATGTTCAGTCCATAGTCTACTTTTGACATGCATCTCCCCTCCTGGGAGGATCCTCCAAATATCCTTTATTTGGTGCTCCCTTCTCTATCTGAACTGCCCTTTCCTCTAGGATACCCGGCTGGCCTCTAAGTTAAGGAGTAATCCTCCTGGTGCTGATCTCAGCTATTCTTGGGTATTAATCTCATATTTTGTTACTTTATATCCCCCAGATGAATGCAATCTTTCTATGTCTATCCCTCTCTTTCTGACTCATTTCGCTTAGCATGATACTTTCCATATTGTACCACTTGTATGTAAATTTCATGACTTCATCTTTTCTAACAGCTACATAGTACTCCATTGTGTAGATGTACCAAAGTTTCTTTAACCAGTCATCTGTTCTTGGGCATTCAGGTTTCTTCCAGTTTCTGGCTACTGTAAAGAGTGCTGCAATGAACAAACAAGTGCAGATGTCACTTCGACTATACATTTTTGCCTCTCTGGGATATATTCCCAGGAGTGGTATTGCTGGGTCAAATGGGAGCTCAATTTCTAATTTTTTGAGAATCGTCCATACTGTTTTCCAGAAGGGCTGAACCAGTGGACATTCCCACCAACAGTGAAGGAGTGTCCCTTTCTCGCCACATCCACGCCAGCATCGGTTGCTTTTGTTCTTTTGAATGTGGGCCAGTCTCTGAGGTGTGAGATGGTATCTCATTGTGGTTTTGATCTGCATCTCTCTGATGATTAATGATTTAGAGCATTTTCTCATGTGCTTTTTTGCCATTCGGATTTCTTCTTTGAGAAAGATTGTGTTCATTTCGTTGCCCCATTTTTTGATGGGGTTGGATGTTTTCTTCTTGTGGAGTTTAACCAGTATTTTGTATATCCTGGATATCAACCCCTTGTCAGATGTGTATTCGGTGAATATCCTTTCCCATTCTGTAGACTGTCTTTGTATTTTGGTCACTGTTTCTTTGGAGGTGCAGAAGCTTCTTAGTTTAAGATAGTCCCATTTATCTATCTCTGTTTTCACTTGCTCGGCCAGTGGCTTGGCATCTTTGAAGATACCATTAACTTCAATGTCATGGAGGGTTTTGCCAACTTTATCTTCAATGTACCTTATGGTCTCTGGTCTGATGTTGAGGTCTTTAATCCATTTTGATCTTACTTTTTTACATGGTGTTAGGCAGAGTTCTGAGCCTATTTTTTTGCATGTAGCTGTCCAATGATGCCAACACAATTTATTAAAGAGGCTTTCCTTACTCCACTTCACATTACTTGCACCTTTATCAAAGATTAGATGATCATATGATTGAGGGGAGATGTCAGTGTATTCAACCGTGTTCCATTGGTCTGTAGTTCTGCCTTTGTTCCAGTACCATGCTGTTTTAATTATTACTGCTTTGTAGTACAGTTTGAAGTTAGGGAGGTTGATTCCTCCCATTTTCTTTTTCCCAAGAATTGCTTTAGCTATTCGTGGGGGCTTATTGTTCCATATAAATTTCAGGAGTGTTTGCTCCATTTCTTTGAAGAATGTCATGGGTATCCTTATAGGGATTGCATTGAATTTATAAAATGCTTTCGGTAGTATTGCCATTTTGACAATGTTAAGTCTCCCGACCCATGAGCAGGGGATATCTTTCCATTTCCTCATGTCCTCTTTTATTTCCTGAAGTAGCGTTTTGTAGTTTTCTTTGTACAGGTCCTTTACTTCCTTAGTTAAGCTGATTCCTAGGTGCTTGATTTTCTGGGGCACAATTGTGAATGGGATTGTTTTTTTCATGTTGCTTTCTTCTCTCTCACTGTTTGCGTATAGGAAAGCCATGGACTTTTGGGTATAGATTTTATAACCTGCAACTTTACTATATAAGTCTATTGTTTCTAGGAGAATTTTTGGTGGAGGTTATTGGGTTCTCTAAGTAGAGTATCATATCATCTGCGAATAGTGAGAGCTTGATTTCTTCCTTTCCTACCTGAATGCCCTTAATATCTTTTTCTTGCCTAATCGCTATTGCAAGTACTTCCAGTACTATATTGAACAGCAGTGGAGAGAGTGGGCATCCCTGTCTCGTCCCTGATCTTAGAGGGAAGGCTCTCAGTTTTTCCCCATTGAGGATGATGCTTGCTGTAGGCTTGTGGTAGATGGCTTTAATTATGTTGAGGAAGGTCCCCTCTATACCCATTTTGGCTAGGGTTTTCATCATAAAGGGGTGCTGGATCTTGTCAAATGCTTTCTCTGCATCTATTGATATAATCATATGCTTTTATCTTTTCTTTTGTTGATATGATGGATTATGTTGATTGATTTCCGAATGTTAAACCATCCTTGCATCCCTGGGATGAATCCTACTTGGTCATGGTGTATGATCTTTTTGATGAGTAGTTGGATTCTATTTGCTAGTAGTTTGTTGAGGATCTTTGCATCTGTGTTCATCAGGGATATCGGCCTGTAATTCTCTTTCTTTGTGGTATCTCTGTCTGCTTTTGGTATCAGTGTGATATTAGCTTCGTAGAAACTGTTTGGAAGTTTTTTGATATTTCAATTTCGTGGAAAAGCTTAAAGAGCATTGGGAGTAAGTCCTCTTTAAAGATTTGGAAGAATTCACTAGTGAATCCATCCGGGCTAGGATTTTTGTGCTTGGGGAGACTTTTTATTACCATTTCAATTTCCTTGATGGTATAGGTCTGTTCAGGTATTCCAGGTCTTCTTGGTTCAGCCTTGGGAGTCTGTAGGAGTCTAGAAATTTATCCATTTCCTCGAGGTTTTCATGTTCCGTGGCATAAAGCTTCTCAAAGTACTCCCTGAGGATCCTCTGAATTTCTGTGGTTTCTGTTGTAATGACCCCCTTTCCATTTCTGATTCGGTTTATTAGGGTTTTCTCTCTCCCTTTCTTTGTGAGTTTTGCGCTAGAGGCTTATCGATCTTGTTAATTTTCTCGAAGATCCAGCTTTTGGTTTCATTGATCTTTTGGGTTGTTTTTTGGGTTTCCATCTCATTAATCTCTGCTCTGAGTTTTATTATTTCCTTTCTCCTGTTCGGGTTGTGCTCCTTTTTTTGGTCCTTCTCCAAGCTCTTAAGCTGTGAGGTTAGGTTACTTATGTGTGCTCGCTCCTCCTACCTGAGGAATGCTTGTAGAGCTATAAACTTTCCTCTTAACACAGCCTTTGCTGTGTCCCATAAGTTTTGGTAACTCGTGTTCTCATTTTCATTCGTTTCTAGGAATCTTTTGATTTCCTCTTTGATTTCCTGTCTAATCCACTCGTTAGTCAATAGTGCACTGTTTAATTTCCAGGTGTTTGATTTAGTTTTCTGTTTTTGTGTGTGATTTACTTCTAATTTCAGCGCATTATGGTCTGAGAAGATTGTTGATACAATCTCTATCTTCTTAATTTTATGGAGGCATGTTTTGTGGCTCAGCATGTGGTCTATCTTGGAGAATGTTCCATGTACGCTTGAGAAGAATGTGTATTCAGCTTTTTGTGGGTGAAGTGTCCTGTATATATCTACTAAGTCCCTTTCTTCCATTGTTTCCCTCAAATGAAGTATGTCCTTGCTAAGCTTGAGTCTGGTTGATCTATCAAGAGGTGACAAAGCAGTGTTGAAGTCTCCCACAGTATTGTGTTGCTATTGATGTCTTTTTCCAAATCTATGAGTAGTTGTTTTAAGTACTTTGCTGGTCTCTCATTAGGTGCATATACATTTATTACTGTAAGTTCTTCCTGTTGTACAGATCCTTTGATCAATAAGAAATGGCCTTCACTGTCTCTTATGACCTTCCTCACTCTGAAATCGATGTGGTCTGATATTAGGATGGCTACCCCAGCTTTTTTCTGGGAGCTGTTTGCCTGTA